TTGCATGGGTTAAGGAATGTAGGTTACTCTGGAATTAGGTGCCGACATCTTGTTTTTCCTAAGTCGTCATCAATTTTATAACTTACGGGGTTAAACTACCCTCAAAATGATACCTAAATTGGGCATTTTTTTTTTAAGAGAATTATTGACTCGATCGAAAAATTTTCACACTACTCTTAAAGAATATAAAAGTATTTTCTTCGTTTAATTTCTTTACAAAATGGCGGCACTACAACTGCGTCGCCGAACCTCTACTTTGGACAGATGTAAGGTTTCTCTTAAGGTAATAATTTTGTTTGCATTTTTGTTCCTTTTCTTTTAATTATTACCACAAAGTTTCTACATAAAGATAATTTTTCTATCAAAAAATTCCTGTTCTATTCTATCGAAAAAACGAGGAAGATAGAAAGGAGGACAGTTTGCAAGATAAAATTGGGTCAACGCTTGTTAGTATTCTTAAAAGCGTTGCTATTAAAATGTAACGTGAAAGATTAAATAATCCATTTTTTTCCATACGATTATATAGAATGAAAAATTTTTCACAGGAAGCTCTGATTTAATGTAATACTCGCGGAAAGCGATCGATCGTGACCGGTTCGATTATTTTCCAATGATTTAATTCACTTGTTAATCACGGGGATATGATTTTCCCGGTATGGTAGTTATGAATAATCAAGTAATATTCGTCACAATTAGTCGATATTACGGGCCAGGCGAATATTCGTATTGCTCGTTCGTGCTTTATTCCGCATCGCAAAATTAATCACAGCTTTTTTCATTATTTTACCTCGTCCCGATGAAAACCCCAGTTAATGAAGGTATTTCTAATTACACTTCACACGTCTAGAAAACTCTTGACATAGAAGAATGAAGTTCCTTAAGCGAGATTAACAGGGGAAAAATTGACGTTGAAATTAAACGAATAAATAAATAAAAAAAGCAACAAACTCTGTAGCGAAACTTCGAATAGAATTTATGGCGAATTTTTATATAATGAAGAATATCTTACTAGATTACGAAGTTTCGATAAAATTTGCTAAACTCGATACCCGAAGCTTCGGTATCCGATAAAACATATTGAAAATTAAAAGCATTTTAAAATTCTCGTTATAAACGACGTTACAAAACACTTTCCGTAATGCTTTCGATAAATTCCATGAATTTTAAAACAACGACACAAAAATTAATTAACAAATCGTTGTCTTCCACGTTGATTAAAAGGAAACAAATTTCCGCAAAATCTACAACACCCACGACAAGAATAGTTAACCCTTCCGACCCGACGGCGTTTGCAGTAGTTCGCTTCCTACGGCCGACTTGAAACTGAGCCCTAAACATATCGAATTATTTATAAAGTATTTGAGTCTTTGACAATATTGCGATTTTAACATACCATACTGAATAGTTAAGAAAGGAAAGCGGTGACACATTCGCAGAGTCGGTACACGGTACCGAAGTCGGCCGCATACAACGCGACGCGACGGTTGGTGATGCTCGGAAGGGTTAAAGGAAGTCATGTCAAAAAAATATCTACTCCGACTTCTTCTAAGCAAAAGATCCTTTTTCCTACCCAGAACTGCAGGCTCTGTCTAGGGTATCCCTTCTCTACATGTTGATTCATTTTTGACACTTCACTCGAGGATGAAATATCCAACACAATTCCAGAAGTTATCATCGACAACCGTTCGAACTGGATATCGCGAAATCCCCGACGAAAAGTTTAATCGTCGTTATACTCGCAATTAACCATGGTCTTGACGCGAAATTTCATTTAATTCCCGTTTGAGCCCAATGAAATGCGCCCCGATAAATTGCTGCGGCGAATTTTTTTCTCGTTCTCCCAAATTAACTCTCAACTCGGCCGGAAATAACCGACTGGTGCATTATATAATGAGCCGGGCATAATTGCATTAATGAATTCATCCCGGTTCCCGCCGCGAGCTCGCATTTCTCTCCGTCTTTTCAGCCAGTGGCCATTTATACCACCCCGGAGGGAGGAAATTCCGGGGAACTGTCAACTTGTAATCGGAATCACGAACCTCGAGGTGCCTTAAATCATCCCGTTTCTCTCGGCGACTGTTTCCTGCCAGCCCCGTCGAGCTCGTTCGCGAATAGGAACCATAAAACGGCGGAGGATCGGGGAAAGAGATGAAAGTGAAGGAGGTGGAGAGAGTTTCGTGACATTTTGTAACTTGGACTCTTTTAATTACAGCGGAAGATTGGAGGAATTTGTTGGATTCTTTTGTGTCGTCGTGTGTTTAGGTGTTTGTTTCGTTCTAATTACTGAAATATCTCGCTGACTGTTTGCAATTGAGTTTTGTAGAATTGTGTGAAATTTGAGTTGTTTAAGTAAAATTGAAATTTTGTAAAATACGAACATTACCGAAGAATTTTCTGGAATGATAAGGATTTCAAGTGTAAATTTTGGGAAATATTGTATTAAAAGCAGGAGTGTTATTACTGGTTTTCATTCGTAGTTTTTAATAGTACAAAAGCATGGAAGAAAGATTATGAAGAAGCAAGAAAAATATTTCAAGAGTATATTTTGGAAAAATATTTATTATATCAAAAGTAAGAGTGTTATTACTGTTTTTTATTCGTAGTTTTTAATAATATAAAAGCACGGGAGAAAAATAAAGATTACGAAGAAGCAAGAGAAAATGTTGGAAAATATTATATTAAAAATAAGAGTGTTATTATTGTTTTTTTTATTCATATTTTTTAACAATACAAAGGCATGGAAGAGAGGAAAATATTTCAAGTGTCTACTTTTGGAAAACATTGTTTCTCTTATTGATAATTTTTGTTAGTTTAATTAGTCAGTTGTGACAGTTTGCAAGAGTTGAAGGAGAATAAGAAGTTACGAGTTTTGCATGACAAATAGCGGCGCTTAAGATCCAAGTTTCTTGCGAACGTCCCGAGACAGGAGTGGGTTATACGTTTCCTCTAATAAGAAAATGATGCATAGTGACAATAGTACTTGGCTAATTCCACTTGGATAGTTGTGTTGATAAGTAGTGTGTAATTTGTACAAGACAAACGGGAAACGGTAGCAATTCAGCCAAATTCAGCAAATGTTGTTTTCGGTCTGACAAAAAATTAAGTAGAACACACGACCTAATTTCTTGTTACAGTATAAAACTGATGCAATTTTGTTAATTTAATTCCCCTAGAAGATATTCTAGAAACATAGCCAATATGATGGAGTTTTACTTCTTCGGCATTCTTGTTAGTTTGGTACAAGTTTTGTAAGCGTTTTATATTTTCAGGCAGAAACTGTACGATGGCGTTTACTTAAGAAATCGAATTTCATAAATTTTGCTCTGCTATAGTATAAGTCCTCTTAATTTTCAAGCTAAGATACAAAAGAATTCAAAGTAAACAGCCCAAAAGTAACTCTACAAAAATAAAATCTTGCTTTTTTATAATTGAACAAAAAAAAATTTAAGCCTTCACTGCTACAAAATAATAATAATTTTCATTAACTATCATAAAATTATTCAGGAAGATGGTGCATATATAAAAATGAAATCTAGAGCATTTTAAACATTTTAAGCATTTATTGCTACAAATTAGTTTCTAAAATAATAACAATAATTTTCATTTCTTTTTTATTTATCTTCTCGAGTGCTAGAATCGCTCTAATATCAGCAGCAATTATGTACTTCCGGTGCTTGCAACGTTACAGTACAGTTATCTCAGTTTCCGAAATTGGCACTGGCAACTGTTCAGTTACGATAAGAAGAATCGCAGAAAATTCGACCATCCGGGCGAACAGAGGATTTCATCCACTTCGCGTGAACGAACAGAAGACTCGTAGAAAGCTTTCAACGAACTAACGTATATAGAACACACGGTACCTTCGACGACGTCATTAATTCGGACAATTTTCTGTCGGCTGATGATCCAGAATCTCGATCGAATAGTGCATCGTAGGAAGCCGGCAGCCTACCGAGTGGATCCATGTGCAAGCTAATTCGATTACGTACTCGGATCGTCTAGAACAGTATTATGGGGGCACGACTAGGACCGGGCGGCGAAATCTCGTTAGGACACTCATCTCCCTATGGGGAATTGTTATCCTACTACCCATCGGTTGCGCCGTTCTGAAATTTTCGCGCCGCGAAATGAACGGCAAACGCAATTACGCCGACCAATGAAGAATATCGCCGTTACCGACGGCCTTAGACGCGTGATCTTTTCAATATCAACCTGAAGTGTTTCGCTGAAGAGAGATCGCAGTGTTTCGCGGCTCCAAAATTCGTCGACGTTTGCGTTTCATTCGGGAGAAAATTCAGGAAACTTTGTGAATTACTTGGCGCGGCGAAAGATGAAAGAAAGGGGAAAGTGAAGATTCCTACCGGAAGTCTGACGTCTTTTGCGCGGGAGATAAGGGGAAATTTGTGGGATGGGGGAACGATGGATTTTTGTAAGTGGAAATTCTTGCGTGGAATGATTGTGAAATGAACGATCGTGTCGGTGACAAGAGGAAATTTGTGGAGAGCGTTAATTCTTTCAAAAATGAAGAAACTTTGCATAGATAATTTACTATAGGAAGAACTTGGAGTACAAGAAATTTATCTTTCTAACATATTTCCTGAAAAGAGGAACGGAGTAAAAGTTGAAAAATTAAGTAAAAACTGAGCAATTTTGCTTTTCTGAGTCATATTTAACATTCTTTACTATTCCATTGAAATTCGTAATTCACTCGGCTAAAAATTTTTTCCAACGATAACTTATCGATAGAGAAACCTGTTCGAGAGAGATTGTTTTCTTTTTAATACACTGTACGAGAACCGCTATATCGTCGATTCGTGTGCAGTTTGTAAAATCGGTCGTTCGTTTAATAAAGCAGAAAAATCGAATCGGAGTCGTAACGTAACCGTGGTACAATGTATTACAGGACAGAGTGGATGTTCGCAGTGAAAAGTGTCCGCCGCGGGGCTTAACCGGCAAATCCAACTTCCTGTTAAATCACCCGTACGGATTAAACCACTTACCGATACAAGTTCCGTCGGGGGTGGCCTCGTAGCCAGGCAGACAGGTGATCGACAAGCTGTCCAGTATCGGTTGATCCTTCAATTCCATTGGCTCGGCGCATCGATAAGATCCTGGCGTGTTGATGCAACCATACCGGCACATCTCCGTTTGCAAATCTGGTTGGACGCACTCGTCCACGTCTAGACAGCAGAAAAAAACAACATGTTGTATCTACTTTTATTCGACAGTTTAATTCTTCCTCGCGAAATTTTATTTTCTGCGGTGTATTGCGTACTTTGTGAAGACAGTGTTTTGAATGGAATTTGAACTGCTTTCATTTGGACATTGTTGGGAACAGGAACATTCTTTTTGCAAATTTAGGGAAAAATTTGAGTGAGATTTAGTTTTGCAGTTTTTAGGGTTCGCTGGAATCTCCATCGTTAATTTTTATGAAATGTGAATTACTTTCAATTCTACATTATTGAGAATAGGAATATTATTTTTGCAATTTTAGAGTGTGAATTACTTTCATTTCTACAATATTAAGAATAGGAATATTCTTTTTGCAATTTTAGAGAAAAGTTTGAATGAGATTCAATTTTGCAATTTCCAAGGTTCTCTAGAACACCATAAGCTGCTCCTTCTAGAAACGTTAAAAAGAGGAAATATGCTACTCATATTTCAGATATTTCTTTCTGTGTACTTTACATAGCCATAAACTTATAACGAAAAATGATTCGTTTACAAATTTCAATCTTATATTCTTCGTACAAAAAATTTACGAATAAATCATACGATATTAATTTAAGCCTAATTACGAATTTCGTTGTTACTATCTTCAACAGATTCGAAGAAGATAGTTTGTAAGATTTTACAAGTCGTGATGCCAATCTTGGTCGATTAAGAAAAATGATCGACAGGTCGTATCTATTAGGACAAATGATCGTAGAAGAAAAAAAATCACGCAGGAGACGAGGTAGTGATTAACAGGAAGCATCCATTAGCGGCTCGTATATCTTTAACGACGGTGTATTCATAAACGATGCAAAGTTTTGCGAATGCGCAAGAAAGTATTAAAAACACGAAGGAAAAGGAATGTACCGCCCGTTAACGCAAGCCTGTTAAACACGTATATTGCACGCGTTCTCGATTTATCTGACGAGACTAATTAAGAGGTTTCCTGCTTGTGGAACGATGTGTTCAGTTTCGAACAACGAGAACTTTGAACACATACTTGGAACGCTTGGAAACTCGACAGAAGCGCGCGAAATAAATCCATATTTTTTAACAAATCCCACTGTTGGCTAACTTTCGTTCGAAAAAACCTATATTTCACCGTTATTCCACCATTACACTTAACATTCATCTTTTTCTCTAAGTAATACTTAAAGCTGTAAGAAAAAAAAAAAGAATATTCATTCTTCGGTGACTTAAACCTCCTCTGAAATTCCTCCAGGCCAATTACTCTCCTCGAGAAACTAAAAAATTAACGATTCCTTTCTGTTCGCCGAAAGTCAACGTTCAATGAGGCGTAAAAAGAAGCGAAGAGCCACTCTTCACTGTGCTTTCCCTCGGTGCTTTCAACGCCGCGTAAAACAAACCTCCAAACATCTAATTTTGTTACCTCCGATGAAAAACGCTCCTCTATGACGTACGAAAGCACGATTAAACCCATTGAACGTTACAACGAAAGTGGAAACATGTGACTATTACTCGTTTTACCGCTGTTCTATGTCCTCTGTTAGTCGATATTTTAGGATCGCCAGCGTTCTTGCCTTCGAGGGCGTAAAAGTGCGAATTTTCAGAAAGAGTGCGTGATGAAAATGACAGTGTGGAATAAGAATTAGTAGTGTGAGATTTGGGAGAGAAGAGACCTTGAGTGGAAAGCGTGGAATAGATTCCGATTGGAGACAGCGTGGTTTATAGTTAACACCTTGACTGCCACGTTGGTTAGGTTAGGTCTGTTGAACCACGTTGGTCTGTGACCGGAGATTGTTTCCTCGATAGGTGATCATCAATGACCAGAGGGCCTCAAACGTTTAGAATAATTCGAATACAACGAATATCGTCAACTAAAAATTTCGAACATCATAGCTAACCGAAGATTATTTAAAATTTTGAAAAAATAATAATAATGAAGCATGTTAAGCATAATATAATACTATGCTCCTGAGGCATTCAATTTTAATTCGATTTCTTTACTTTTCTTACCAAACTATTGTCACGATTATTTTAAATACACTTTTCTAAACCTCAATCACAAGTGTCCCATAGTTTCACAGAGGGGGTGAATTATTAAAATTGTCTCTCTCAGCGATTCTCTCTATATCCCCGCGATTCGAAAGAGAGTGGAAGAGGACGGGAGAGATAGCGAGGGAGGGGGAGAAATTCTATTACCTTGGCAGGTCTTCCAGTCGTCCTCCAGGATGAAACCGTCGGGACAGAGACAAAATACCCGGCCCATCGTGGAGAGACAGGTGTGGGAGCATCCAGCGTTGTTGACGCTACACGGGCCAGCGTCCCGACACGTGTGATTGTCGGGTGACAGCACGGTGTCCTGCAGAGCGTCGCAGGAACATTCATAGCCGCCTACGGTGTTCCGACACGTTCCCTGACATGGACCGTGTCCGTTGTTCAACAGACACTCGTTGATATCTAGTTAATGAAAGTGCGGTAATACTCGGTAATTGTACGTTTCATTTTTCCCTCGTTCTCGTTGTTGGTGAATCGAGCTTCAGCTGAATTGTCAATGGGTATCGAGTAGGTTCACGTTTGTACTATTTGGATGATTCAGATTGACGTGATAACGTGATCGAAGCAATTGGAAATGGTGGGAAAGTAAACAATATATAGTATATATTATATTATAGTCTCATCTAACTCTGTCACTCTTAATTATTTCCTTATTTGTGCGGATACAAAAAAATGATTCTGAAGGAAGTTAGGCTATGAGGGTGAACGTCAATGAAAGTCATACTGTGATACATGGTTGAATGCGTTTTCATGTCATCTTTCTCATGGTAAACAAAAGAATTAGCCATTCTGTATAAAAAAATATTACTGTTAGTCAAATTTCGAAAGATATAACCTTGAAATTACCTTCACCCTCCTAGCCTAATTTTTTGAATTTGTGCAAATAAGAAAGTTATTAAGAGCGATAGAGTTAGATGGGACACCCTGTATATATCTAATAAATTCTAATTCAATTTTGTTTCCTTTAAACCCTTCACTGCTGGCAACTCGAAAGTGAACCACTCGCTGTGTACGGCTGAGGTATGGCATTAATGGTCATACTAGGTATTGCGTTAGCCAAATCATTTTTTTGCCGAATGTTCTGTATTTTATATTTGTAAAATAAATAATATGTAAATATAAAATATAGAATATTCGATTATCACTGAGCAGTCAAAGGGTTAATCTGTCACCATTTTCCACTCTTCGTTTCGAAATGCACGTCTAAATTCTCGAAACGTAGATCTTAAAATGATAAGAAAAAAAAACAAGCAGTGCAAAATATCACGTAAAAGGAAGAATTAAATAATACTCGTTCAAACGGATACTAAAAAAAAAAAGAAAAATGCAATATTCAACGTAAGAAGAATCTGAAAAGAGGGCCGAGACGTGAACTGTTGAAAGTTCCGGCAATGATCATCGATGGAGGAGCGCGAGCATGTTTACACTTGTTGCTTTTTCAGAGAGAAAACGAAGTGCTTGCATACCACAGAGGATGCATATTCCGGCGCAAATCACTCACCCTTGCACGTGAATCGGTCCTCGTCTAGTTTCATTCCCTTTGGGCACTCGCAACGAAAGGATCCCGGCGTGTTCACACACTTATGCTCGCAACCTCCCTTGTTATCCTTGCATTCGTTCACATCTGGATTTTAACGAGCACGTGTAATTCGTCAGATTCAGCTAACTCCTGCGACGCGATATTTCTCGCTTCTCTCGCTATTTAGCGAGAAAACCGCCCGTCAGAAGTGCACCGATACGTGCATTTTAACACGAGTATCGTGCTCATTTTGACAATTTACCATAAGAGTAATCTGGATTCTGCAATAATTTTTCAGTTCCAAACAGCTCTTATCGGTTGTAGATAAACATAATTAAAAAGTGCAGATCCTGGATTTTCTACAGAAATGAGGTATTAATAAAACCTTTTATTAAAATGAAACTTTTCAATTTTTTTTAATTCTCCCCTCTGAAATTTCATGTGAAATTTAATACAGATTTCACAAATTTTCTTTCTGCCATGAAAACAAATCCAATTATGCTTTTAACTCGATGCGGAGAAAATTCGTTTTCCTGAAATTTTTTTATCAAATTTAAATTTTCCGACATATTTTAACTCCCTTTTCTAAAATCTCGTACAAAATTTAATTTTCATCAATTTGCGTGTTTCTACTGCGAAAACAAATCCAATTTCGAAGTATATGAAATTACGTTTCTAACCCGATTCGGAAAAAATTCTTTTTCGCATCTTCGAAAAAGTAATATAAAACTTACGATAATTCGTAGGTTTGGAACGGTGAAAAAAATTAATCGCGTTCGTAAAAACTTTGTTATTCTTCAAACTTTCGTTCGACTTTCATTTCTTGTTCCTCCAATTTATTCAGGTCAACCGTACTTCCTTCTTTCCCTTTTCTTTATTTTCCACTCTTTTCACATCTACGCCGCAATAGAGTGGAAGTTTGTGTCACCGGTCTCGGTTAAGCCAGACTTTTAACTAATTTGAATTACCTGTCCCCTCCCGATTCATCCAGATTTACGTTTTACGACGTTGGCCTGCAGCTAATTTTTCCAACAGTCGTTAATTCGAATTTCCGCTCGATTTAAATTACCACCCCCCATCGAAACGGGGATTGAAACCAAGTTTTATTGGATTTTTCTTTTCCCACTCTCGTCTGATACAATTTTCATTTCATATCGTTAACCTGGAAATCCTTTAGTCTTGTTTACGTTCAATCACTGATCAATCAGATTATAAAAATCCTCGCGCTCTAGTGATAAAGTTATTTTTATATCTCGAAAGATTTTCGAAATTTCGTCGATCGTAAAAATTCAACGTTAACAGAGACGAGTAATGTCTACAAGCAACGACGTTTATGTCGTTTAAATTTCATTGGAAATTACACCGCCGTTGATTTTTCATTGGTCTCTTTCATCTTCGAATGCACAAACGAACCTCGGAGTAGAAATTTTACAGCCGTTCTTGGATTTTACGAGAAACTATCGCGGCACGAGAGATACACTCGACCAAGCACTGATGAAGAAAGTAGAGGAGAAAACTGACTTGAACGAAACGAAATCGTTGATGTTTTAATAGGGACAGGAAGAAGTTGTCGTTCGCAGAACGCGAAAGCTGTCAATATTTCAACGAGTATCCTGTCGATATTTCATCTGGAGAAATTTCTTTTCCACCGCCTCGACAGGCTGCCTTCCGTTAGAAAAACGGTGTCGTTTCTGCGTTTTAGTATTCATACTGATAAAGAAAGAAACAGAAGAAGAAGAAGAAGAAGAAAAGGGAAAAGTGAGGGAAACCATTGGGAATCGACGAACCATCAAAATATTATTAAATGAGTGAAATGGTAATTTTACGACGTGTCTTTATCGAAAATGTTTTATTTCTATGAAATCTTGCTCTGGGAACGTTATCGCGAGATGTAAAATCAATGAATCGAGGATTATAACGGAGAAATTAAAATACTTGGAAACGTTAAAAAAATTGCCGAAACGAAACTAACGAAATACTGTAACTTGAAATTCTGAAATATTGCCAAACGCGTTTGCTAAAAATGAAATACTCCAGGTGCAAAATGTAAATAAGTATATTTTTGAAATATGAAATGTTAGAGTTCGTCTTGATTCGTCTTTAATTTCCGATAGTAATTTAACAAAAATTGTACGAATTTTAAATTATCGTGAAAAATCTCAGAATGTTTCAATAATTGGATCATTTCATTGAAATCATTTGAGAATAATGAAAAATTCAACATTTCACATTACACGACTTAATATAAAAGAGAAAAGAATTTGAAAGTGTAAAAAATCATGGTAAAAATTCTGACGAAACCGAAAAGGGAAAGTGTAACTTACCAAGGCATTTGTCACCCTCCAACCTGAACCCTTTGTAGCAAGAACACACCGGTCGTCCATCGACTTCCTTGCACACGTGATCGCAGGAAGCCCCGGCACACACCCCCTCAAAATTCTCCTTGACCTTACACTTTGGCAGCTGTCCTATCCATTGACGATTTCTGCAGAGCAACCTACTTGTTGTGCTCACCATGTAAAATCCTGGAGCACACTCGTAGTCAGCTTCCAGGTACTCGTGGCCTGGTACCGAGGACCTTCAGGAGACAGCATGTATAAACTTTCAAATACTTGCAAAAAAAGAATATAAAATTTTTGTAAAGTATACACCGCCAAATATTTATGGTTCTAAGTATCATTTCATATACTTTGGAAATATCAAATATACGTGCTCTGAAATATCAACTGCATCAACTTTGATAAACTCTGATAAACTTTAAATCAACTCTGATTTAAAATTTTCGAAAATTTCATTTACACCAGTAAGTAGAAAATGCATGAAAGATGTAATAACGAAGTTTCGTTTAGATCGGTTGACCGTGGAAATTAATTCAAGAGTTCGCGCAACTAGTGGATAAACAGTAGCTGATCGATAGCTCGCCAACATGCTGATGTAGACCCTTTCAGAGAGTTTGTTAAATCTGTTATAAATCCTTAAACCAAGATAATCCAAATAAAATTGAAACTTTTCACGTAATACACGTTACTTTAAAAAATATATCAAAAATATTATCACAACGTATCATCCTTAAATTCGTTAAATTCGTCACTCGTGAAATTAGCAGTTTATGTAATTAGCTCGAGAAAGAAGATAAAATAAACGAAGAAAAAACTTGTGCAATTAGAATGCAAGAATTAAAATATTACCATCCCCTTTTTTTTCTAATTTTACTCCTAAATACTTCCTCGACGTGAAATTTTCAATATTCCACGTTCCTTTGATTCAACATTCGCGCTCGAATCAAGATTTACTCCCCATTACAGTCACTTCCCTGATCTTTTTATATCTTACAGCTCCGCCAGGTAATTCCAGCACGTGGAGGCATTGAAAAGTTCGAGTCTTTCGATCCGAAACTTTTCTGCTTCTCCTACAATCCCGGCTGGGAACTTGTCCCAGTAATTCAGTTTTCTGACGAAAAGGGAAGAGAAATTTCAGGCGGCAATAGAGCGACACGTTCCTCAACGCGGAACGCAGCCATGTGCTCGATTAAAGAACAGAGAAAAGGGTAGGAGGAGAGACAGAGAAAGAGAGAACATTGAAAAGAACCATTCACCGGAAGGTGAACAACGAGAACAGCAATTATAGACTTTTCAAGTACGCCCTTCACGATGAACAAGCGTTACTTCATCCGAAGGAGTTGTAGAAAATTTTCAAAATTAAGCAGACATTTTACGTCCGATAGAATCCTCGTGCTTGTGAATTATGTTTCTCTTTCTACTAAACGGTAAAATTTCTTAATGACATTTTCAGTGAAGATTTTACAATGAATTTCATAGGGAGGAATGATAAAAATTATTTAACAGTGAAATTAGAATAATTTCATTTTTGTCACTTTTTTCAGTGATTTTGAATTTTGTATTTTTCAATTGATTCACGAATTACAGTATATTCTCCACAAGTGTCAGTCCGCAAGGAAGCTAAACCTGACACTCGTAGAGTCAGGGACTACGTTTTCGAGCCTCGCGCCCGCCTTTGTAGTTTGCCGAACGTAGACAAGGACAGCGAATGAAAGATAAGGATGAAACGTAAGTCAAGGGCGATTTAAAGCGATTTAAATACCAACTTTTTTAATTTTACGTTCTTTTATCCCGCAATTTTTCTTAACATATTGATGAACATTTACTTATTAACACGTTCACTGTCACGCCAGATTTACAGGTTGCTGTCAAGCGGCCACAAGAAAATATATTTTAAGCATAGGATTATAGTATTATGCTTTATAATTTTTTTTTTCAATTCAAAATAATGTCTAGCTAGCTATGACGTTCAAAATTTTTAGTTGACATTTATTTTATTTTAATTATTCTAAACATTTCAGGCACTCCAGTCACTGATGACCACCATGACCATATCGAGGAAACAATCTAACAAATTACATTAAATACCTGTACACATTATCCGTCGAATGTAGAGGGAGAGCCACCGTTTGGTTGCCAATTGTTTATCACATAGAGTCGGCCTACCTCCAGGTAAAAAAAAAAAATGTAGGGTCGATTCCACAACTGTCAGTAAAATGTAGGGTCGATTCCACTTGTGACAGTACAAGTGTTACTGTACTTTGCCCAGTTTGGTGAAGAATATCGTTTAAATGCAATAGAGGTTTACCTGTGTTTTTCTGAATTTCAAAAATTCAGGCAGAATTGTAAATATTATACTGTCTCGCAACGTAAATTTAAGTAAATTAGGTTGAACTGCACAGAAAAAACAAACGGACGCAGCATAACGTGTAGTTATAATTGTTATGACATGTAAATAGAACGATAAATTTACTGTAAATATAGAAAACGTATAATCTAATTTACTTTCATGGTATTGTAACAAGCAAACGTTGAATAAATTCCTAATTCGTATTAAAAAAATTATTTAACACAATAATTTCAGCTTTATTATGATTATTCTTGATAAATAACCACACGTCAACTTGATTTTTAGTCGTTATAATCTTTAAATTCAGTGTGAATAGAGAAAATGTGTAATATAATACATTTCACGATATTACAACAAACAAACGTTGAATAAACTTTCGATTTGTATAAAAAGGTAATTAACGTAATAATTCTACCTTCACTCTGGCTATTTCTTCAGTGCACGACCGCAGGTCAACCTGATTTTAATCGTTACGAACACAGTCCCACCACGAGAATTGCAAAAAATTGCAAAAATGTATAAATGATAATATGTTGTGTTATAAGAAATTGTGAGAAGTATGAATTTACAATAAAACTTGTGAAAATTAATAAATTATAGGCTGTTATAAAGTTAGAATAGAATAATGGAAATCTCCCGCGAAAAATAATCAATTCCCGCGAAAAATGGTCGATCTCCCGCGAAATATGGTCGATCTCCCGCGAAAAGTAGTCGATTTCCCGCGTAAAAGGAGGTTTCGCGCCCAATTTTGCTAATGATTTTGGGGAGAGGGTACCGCAGGTATATAAGGACCCTCCGATGTCCCGCGAACTTAGTCACCCTTTATACTGGGCCCTAGACACTTCGCGGCATATTTTTCTTAAAGGTTCTGAGATGTGAATAGAGTGGTCGGGGGCTACTAGCTAGCCTATGTCCACCCTGTACACACTCAGCCTTCTTGTAACACTTGTATACATTAGAATCAATTAGAATTTCTATTACTAATTATTAAACAAATTTTAACAATTACCGGCACTCGCTAGGCACGTAATATCAGACTTTAAATACTCGACTTCGAACTTCGGTTTAATCATAATTCTATTAATGTTATAATAACGTATAATTTATTAATTTTCACAATTTTATTATTAATTTATACTTCCAAAAATTTGTTAAAACATTACATATTATTATTTATACATTTTTGCAAGTTTCTTTGACAAATAAGTACGTTTCAACGATCTTATTACTTTCTCGTTGTGAAATCAAGTTCGGAGGATTAAAAATCAGGTTGACCCTTGGTCGTAAATTTAAAATACCCATAGTGAAGGTGAAATTATTATTTTAAATAAATGTTTCTATACGAATTAAGAATCTATTCAACGTTTGTTTGTTGCAATACCATGAAATAAATTGTATTATATATTTTCTCAGTTTAGACTGAATTTAAAGTTCGTAAGGATTAGAAATCAGGTTGACCTGTGGTCGTAGATTAAAAATAGCCATAGTGAAGGTAAAATTATTACGTTAAATAATTGTTTTTATACGAATTAAATATTGATTCAACGTTTATTTGTTGCAATACCGTGAAATAAATTGTATTATATATTTTCTCAGTTTAGACTGAATTTAAAGTTCGTAAGGATTAGAAATCAGGTTGACCCTTGGTCGTAAATTTAAAATAGCCATAGTGAAGGTAAAATTATTACGTTAAATAATTGTTTTTATACGAATTAAATATTGATTCAACGTTTATTTGTTGCAATACCGTGAAATAAATTGTATTATATATTTTTTCTGTTTACACTAAATTTAAAGTTCTGTTTACATGTTATAACAATTAGAATGTAGACGTTTTGCCGTTTCACGGTTTTTCCTCTGTTAATTATGTGTTTATAAATCATTTCAAACTAAAGCAGCACCATGCCCACCCTTAATTAAACCGTCTCAGTAGTTTACCGTAATTAATAATCTATTTTCGGAATTTATACGAGAATTTTTGAATTTTAGTAAATACTAGAGTCAGTGCATCGCGTATTGAAATAATAGCTTATACAGATAATCTTTTGAAATTACTCTTAATTAGGGAAAATCTTGAATCTTGTATGGAAGATGAATTTTTTTTTTTTACGTGGATGTAGGCCGACCCTACATTTTACTGACACTTGTCGAATCGACCCTACATTTTACTGACAGTTGTGGAATCGACCTTACATTTTTTTTTTTTACGTGGAGGTAGGCCGACTCTATGTGATAAACAATTAGCAACCAAACGGTGACTCGCCACTGCAACCTTCGTCCAAATAGAAACCTTTTGTGTATATATACAGTAAATTCTCCACAAGTATCAGTCCGCAAAGAACCTTAACCTGACACTTGTAGAGTCAGGGACTACGTTTTCGAGCCTCGCGCCTGCCTTTGTAGTTTGCCGAACGTAGGCAAGGACAGCGAATAAAAGATAAGGATGAAACGTGAGTCGAGGCAACCAAGCGATTTAAATACCAACTTTTTTAATTTTACGTTTTTTTATCTGTCACGCTAGACAGTGAACGTGTTAATAAGTAAATGTTGTTCAAATTATATCGTGTTTGATATCATTTTCATCAGAAAAATCTCACCAACATGTTAAAAAAAATTTCAGATGAAAAAAAGTAACACTGTACGAATATAATAGGTGTCCTTATTCTCCCATTTTCAAAAGCCTCAGGCTGATATATCCCTTAATACTTTAATTTTACGACCTCGCTATATCGCTGCCACCAACTATACATCCCTATCTAACCAATCCTCCCGTCGTTCTTTCCAATTTCAACCCTAATGTTCCTCCAATACACAAGAAACACAACGAATCGCTTATTTATACAGCGAGTAGCACTGTAAAAAAACCCCTCGATAATTAACCCCGTTCGAGTTCAGTTCGATCGCAGGGGAGCATAATGCAGCGGGCAAGTTCGCAAACGCGTCCAAGATCCATCGTCATAAGGGTAAATCGCATCGACTGAATCCCTCCCCAGTCATCGTTCAGGGGATGAGTTGAATTATTCATGCTAAAAGCTACTTACTTTACATATTTGATCAGCGCGTGCCGCGCAAGGGGAGCCGGCACGAACGTTCCGTTTATGCATGATAAATCTCCCTTCGTATCGTCCTCGTACGATGCCGGTGTGCTGTTCGCCATTTCCGTGCTCTTCTTTCCTCTCGCCGTGTCGAATTCTGACCCCTCGATTATGGGTTTCCCGTGAAAATGCGACGATCCACCGGCTTTCCTTCGTTCGACGTCGTCGTGACGCTGTAACACGGACAATTTCAAGTTCGACGTCATGTACGCGTTGTAATCCCTCAACGTTCTCGCCAGGACCTCGTTCTCCAGCTCCAAAATCGGCAGATCCTCTTCTGTCTTCGAGTAACCGAGCATTTTATCAGCGTCGTACCTCGAATTGCTGAATTTAGGCTCGTTCGAGTTACCGGCTGAACTGCCCTCCTTGCGTTCCGTACTCTTGTAAGAAGGCTTCGACAAAGAGCTGCCCAAGATACGGTTCTCCAAGCTAGCCGGATCCTCCATTTGCGTCCTCGAAATTTCCTTCTCTAATTGCTTCGAGAATTCTCTTTCGACGGTGTCCTCGTAAATCCTGTAACGCCACGTGGTCTGAGTGGACCGTTTGGTGGGCTCTGTGGTCAGTTGATCCGGAAGATTAGACGATAATGTGACATCGGAGTCGTTGATCGGAGTCTGGCTACCTCTCCAGGCTACGTTCGACGAGTTCAACACCGCCTCCTCGTACGAGTGATCGTCGATTTTTCCAAGCAGCAACGCAGCAGGTGCGTCGTTCATTCTTCTCTTGAATTTCGACGTTCTGCGCTCCTCGTTCTTCTCCCCGTTCTGTCTCGGCCTCTTTCTACCGCGTTTTCGCTCGCGGTTCTTTCTCCTTCGGCGACGCTCCGCGCGGTACCGCCGTGCCGGAGAGTCCTTTGATTTTTTCGCCTGGTTGCCGCTTCTCTTGCCTCTGATCTCGTTATCGCGAGTGTCGTCGGCGGTCTCGCGCTGTCGATCCACGTCGGAAGAAGAGCTTCGGGATTCTTTGTTTCTGCGACGCTTCTTGCGCTGCCTAGCTGCGTCTGTCTTGCGACGGGAGATTGATGTTGATGCTGCTGGAACGAAGGAGTTCGTGTGAGAGACGAGAAAAGTGAGGCGTGAAGAGATAAGCTATGAAAGCAGACTATTTTTCGTATGATTTTTTTTTTCCTTAAATTTTCTTGACGATTGTTGAACTTTAAGGATTAGTTTACAGCCCACTTCGGATACTTGAACTGTAACACTTTCTGGAAATTCTCGCGTGTCTTGCAATCGAAAGTTTAAAATGTGTTCAAAATGTACTATGCAAATGTCCTTTCGTAGGATTGTTAGCACAGCGAACGTGACCGTAAATTGCAATATCGTGAAAATGATTTTCTACAAATGATAGCTTGGAAAACGGCCAACGATGTGTTTGTCATGCACTGATTAACACGTTTCTTGCCTACACGAAATAGGCACTAATTCAAGCCCCAAGGTAAACACTGTCATTTGGTGTGCAATAAACTGAAGCAATATCTGTTCGCGGTTAAATGATATTTCACATCCACGGTGACGTTTATTGATAGTGCATATTTCCTCTTTAATGACAGTAACCTGCATTCGAGTGTTATGAGATTGGGATTGCATACTTGGCCTCTAACATTGAAAGCTAAGTTTTCGTTTAAAATTCATCGTTAATACAACATGCAGTGTATAATATCTGAAACAATTAAGATGCAAGAATTCACAACAAAAATTGATATGTTAAGTTTATTCAATTTATAGATAGAAAAAGCTAATATAACAAGCTTCGAATGCTAAACACTTAAACTCAGAAATAAGTATATTCTGCAATTAATACATTACTCCTACTAATACCATTAAATTACATTAATTTACAACCCGTTCAATTTACCAGCATTAATACATCAGGTAACTCGACGCAGACACGTTAAATTCCGACTAATTCTAATCACTCTTAACAGCTCAAAGTCTTCTAATTATCGTTACCGAGAAAAAGAAAAACTCAATACTGCAACTTCCTTCCAGCATGATCACAAAGTACCCACACCTAAAACTTACTCCCCCGAAGCAATAAATGCGACACTTATCGCGCGAAAGTTACACGATTATACCAATTTGAAGAGCAAACATTTCTACTCACTGACATTCAAACCTGACCGAAGAGATGAGTTGGAAGCACCTTCTGGTGGAACGAAGACCTTGCCCCTATTTCCGTCAGCCCCAGGCGCCGTTTCCGCTTCCGTCTCCGGCACCTCTGCCACGTTCCGAGACGAGAGAGAGCTGCCGTCCTCATCGAGCGCCTTTTTACCCTCGAGAGACGCATCCCAGCTAATGGACAACATGGCCAACCGGTTTTTTTTTTTGTTTTCTCCTCTCGGCAAAATGGAAAAGACTATGGTATACTTGGCGAGGCTTGCCTGCTCCTCTCCCTTCGGGCATGCATAACGTCGTGTAACTCTTTAAGTTATCTCTTCTCGACAAAATTTGATCCGCTCAGGACTCTTAATGACCGTGGTCTGATTATAAATTCCGCGGTTCTCCTGCGAGGAAATTGCGATTTAAGCGCGGAATCGAATAAATGCGTGGAAAAGAGTGTCTTCTCTCTGTAGGCAGTGCTCTGTGTGAAATACTCGAGGCAGCGTGAAAAGGTTTTTATTTCAGGTAAATTAATTCTTATATCGTAATTGTGCCGATTCTTGAATCGTTAAGAATTAAGGGTATACTTTAGATTATATGGTCTAATAAACAGCATTACGATGAAGTCCTTTGAAAAGTGACCATGGTTGAAAATTCAATGTAACTTTTTGCTGCAAATTTATATAGTTTTGACAAAGTTACAGTTTCTCTTTTGATTGGCAAAAAGGATATAACTGAAGTACAAAAACTATTAAATTAAGTTTCATAAAAATTAATAATTGCTATTATTCGCGCTTTAGCTATGAAGATTCCATATTACAATTAATAAAAAAGCAAAATCGAATGAAAAAGTCTTTTAAATAAGTACAGTACATTGTACCTAACAAGAAAAACGACGATGATTGAAAATTCAACGCAACTGTGTGCTACAAATTTTCATAATTCTAACAAAGCTATATTTTCTCCTGTGATTAGCGAAAAAGGAGCATAAGTAAACCTACAAAGACCGTCAAATTAATTTCCACGAAAACCGGGTAATTGCTATTATTCGCCATTTAGCAACGAAAGCTATTACATCAATTTTCGTTCCAAGCTACAATTAATAGACTTCGTGTCATAATTAACGAGTGAAAAGAAAATTGAACGTAATTTCTGATTGTACCTCCAATTTGAAGCTTTTCACCTGAAACCCTTCAGGAACGTTTCACAGCGCACATCTAAATGCAGCGCCACAAACGCGTCAAACCCACCGAGTAGACGGAAATCTCAATTATCGTTTCGACAACGAGACCCGGCAAGCGGTCGTTCTGCCGTTGAATAATTTCACACGAACGTACAACGTGTCCTCAAAGAACCCCCAAACCATTCCAACTATTGCAATAAAGACAAATCAGACGCAGCGTTACGGACAATTGCAAATGAAAATACCACGGAAAGTTGGTATTCCTTTATTAGCCGCGAGAGGTTCACCTGCGTCTAAACCACTGCCTCGAGCACGATTATTCCTACGTCCGGGGACCTTTTAGCCCGTCGTCTCAGTAATTATACTACTGGCCAAAAGTTTCGAATCGCTATAGAGGGTGCAGCTATGTCGTCGAAACGGTTGGAGATGGGAAAATTTTCGGAAAGTAAAATTAAACGGTGTTACGTGCTCTTTTATATTTCTGAAAATGTAAAGATCGCAAAGTGTAATTCTAGAATTGTAGAATTTTTCTTGCATATGCGTTGATTTTTTCAATTTTTCTGCGCACAAAGGTATGGAATAAAATGATCGTAAACTGAAACATTTTTTCGCTATATAAGTAATTTCTGCAAATAAGAAATTTTCTTTATTGAATTAAAATTGTGTTATTTGTACGTCGAGTCCACTGACAACGAAGATAACAGTGGTAGTTGTGTTATACGGTTTACTGTGTAGATTTAATAATTAAACAAAGGTATAAAATTCATGAAATTCCTTATTACGTATATTTTTATGCATTACTCTGTCTTACAAATATTAAGCAATTTATTGAGGAGCACAGTTCCTACAATACATATATGTATAACCTTAGAATGGCTATACAAATGGACGGAGCTACATTTTTAAAGTAGTCAAATATAAAAAAAATTTCAAAAGGCAAAATTAAATGATGTTATACATCCTACATTTATACATTACTTTTATACTACATAAAATTAAAACTATATAATTTTTCTTATGTAAATGAATTCCGATGGCTATTGTTAGAGTTAGACGATCGAAAACTAAATAATTCACGAGATATTTCTTAGTAAAACATATCCTTAAGCATTCTTTTATTTCCACGACCATTTTCACACTTTCAAACAGTTTTTAAGTTATACAAAGTTAAGTTAAACATTTCTTCGTAACAGTATTGATAATATTCTTTAAGAAATTTTTCACTACTCAAATCTAGCTTAACAAAGTAAGCTACAACCACTGCAGTGTTAATTTTAGATACATGGAAATAATTAAAAAAAAACAGTAAATACAATATTTGTAGAAATTGACAAATAGTCTGAAACTTTTGGCCATAAGTCACGGTTGCATGAAATCTAGACAGATGTTCGCCGCATTTACCGCGACTGCGGTTCGACTGTCTTACACACCAATTAGAAAGTTCGAGTGTGCGACACGACCACCCTTATTTCGTGTGCCGTGTAATTATTGGTTCCCCCGGAAGCCGCTCGTTTGATCCTCAATGGCCACCCCGCGTGCAACGCTCTAACGACGACTCCTGAGGCCACGCGAGATCACCAAGTTTATTGAAGTCGTTGTGACAGAAACTTGTTGTCAGGAAAAAAGAAAATACAGAGTGTTTCATAATACGTGGAACGTGACACTTCGGAGGATGAATTCAGCATTCGAAATTGACGAAAAAATTTGTATAAGTATAAATACGTATCGGGACCGAATACGGACGCTTAAGTGGGGAGGTGACTTCTGCGAATTTAACTGAAGAAAAGAGAGGTGTGTCTGAGTGGGATACCGATATATCAAGTGTCAGTTGTTCACATTCAGGAGTCGAACTCCACTCCGAAGTCCCATTTCCAAGAATTGGTGGGGATAACGGCGGACGCTTAAGTGTGCAAAATGCTTATGTCTGCGTAGCTCGTGTAATTTATTAAGCATGGAAATTAATCAGTTAAGAAAGTGGTTATACTAGGTGTTGCAGTAGAATGTGACGATTTTAAAAGAGCTACCTTTCTATGCTTGGGTTAAATTGAAATAAAACACTTTTATTTAAAAAAATGCTCAAAATGGCTCGCGCACATTATGAGACAGCCTGTATTAAAACAGTTTCTTCACCTCTTTTTCTTCTTTCTTGAAGTGGTTCATTAGTAACTGCGTTTGTGGAAAAGGGAGAAAGAGGTTGCACAGGTTAAAAGGTACTTTTCTAGTTCGGTGGAAAAAAGAGTTTATTAGGAAGACTAAATGAAAACCTGCTGAAGTGAAATTTGCTTGTTGGAAACATCGTTTTTTAATCAGATTTGGAAATTCATCACGTGTACCGTTATTCAAGAAAGTGTCTAATCACTTAATCTGAAACGCATAATTTGTCCTTTTCTCTTCTAATTTGTCTCCAAGTTGATCGTTAATAAAGTAAATCAGAAGAAGCTTGATTTTCTGTAACAATAGTTATTACAAAATCAGCTCGAAAGTGGGTTCATTCGAAACAATTGACACTGCCCCACAAACACGACGGTCGACCTTGGTAATTAACCAGCCAATTCGCTTATTAACTCTGGTGTCCTACACACGCGTTACACATTCCTCGGGGAGACAGGGCAACTGTCCTCAGACGTATAATCAACCGTCAAATTTCCACGAATTCCCATGAATCCCTAATGGGAACTCCGATGAAGGGGGGGACAAAAAGTGACGTTTTCCCTACGGTCAGGAAAATATAGGGCATTATTCGGGAAAAATTACATTTCGAGAGAGAGAGAGAGAGGAAACCCGGCTTTCGCAACGTCGAAACGATTTTTCGTCAATTTACAACAGCCGATTGATGTCTACTTCAATTTCCTCGAACACAAAACTGTTCGATACGGTGCGGTGGCACGTTCGATCGGGGGCATCAAATATGCATAAAGTACTTACACATACGACTGATCCACATCGTCGACCTGCAGTTCGTCCCGCAGATCGCCTATTTTCCTCGCGACATCCCTGCTCCCGTACTGTTCCCGCGGCTCCGCGTTTTGGCAGTGACCTGCAAACACGAAAAACGCGCTTCGTTCAGTCCCTGTCGAACGTGAGACTTGGAAATCAAAGAGGCAAAAGGAAAAAAAAAACACGAGAGGGAGAGAGATATATACGAGTGGAAAAAGTAGGGAAATATGTGTGTATCTCGTATAGGTAACTTTAATTTGCGATGTTTATGACATACTTAATACGAGGGTGATACTTAACTCTTTTAATGCCAGGCCCATTTTTCTTGAGGCAAAATTTTACTATTTATTCTTTTCAAACTTAATGGTATATGGAATACAATATTGGTATAGCAAAATATTCAATTATTGCCAGTTGACACTCGGAGGTGCAATAATCTGAACGTAAAGAAACGAGGCCGATACATCGGTCCGTGGCATTTTTCGCATAAGTACCGAGTGGCTATATATTGGCCCGCTGGCACTAGAAAGGTCAAGACTATAACTTTTTCCTGACAAAAATTGTAATTTGTGCAGGTACACGAATTTACGCGACAATTGATAAATATTTTGCGAGAAAAATTAACAAAAGAGTTATAGTATGTTATTTAAACAAATGGAATTTTTCAAATCTGTTCACGCAGCCACATTTGTCGTTCAAACATACAAATTTCATCAATTTACATTACCCCTCTATCTCTAACGGGTTTCGAGATATTGAACTAAATATGTTAACTATCCCCGACACGTTCTGAACGGCGAAAGAAATTCTAAACAAACCCTAAATTCCAAATTCGAAACGAGAAAACCTAAGTTTCCGAGAATTCAAAAGTACAACCCCAAGTTCACGATCTCTACGTTCTGCGTACTTCCACTTCGAAGAAAAGGAATGATTTCCAGACGGAGGAAAGGGTGAAAAACGGAAACGAAGGTTGTCGGCGATACAGCGTCCGCCAACAGTGGGAAACAGAGGTGTGGGAGTTTCCATTTCCGGATGGTAGGAAGTTTCACCTGGCCGTAGAGGAAAGTTCTCGCAGTTCCAGATCTTAGAACCTCACTTTGGTTCTGTTGAAACTCCGGCCGGAAGTCAATGGGACCCCCGTCACTTTGCAATGCCGGCAAAAGTACTTGCATACGCTTCACCCTCGCCCACGCCACACCGCCTCGCAACCGGTCCACGAGCTTTTCAGCCTCGATATTGAACTTTTTATCGCGTCGAACCGAGGGAGAATGAAAGGTTAAAGCGGAAAGCAGCGTGGAAACAAAGCGGCGGCGGCCCCGCAATAGTTGTTCCACGTACACGGAACCTCGTAGAAATCGTCAGACGAGTTTTGTGCGTTTCAAAAGCTACTGATGGAATTTGCTTATGATCCGCAACGCGTCTATCGTTAGAACGGTATAGCGTTTTATAACGGTCGATCGTTCGCGAGAATGCCGCTGAGGATAATTGAAAGAACTGAAAGTAAGCTTGCGTTGGATTTAACGAGCTCGGTGCTAACGATATCGCGCAATTAACAATTCCAAGTACTTTTCTCGTTGTTGGTTTGCTGCATTTCGAGAAACTTTCTTAGACGATTCGTCGGATATTGAAATGTCTGCTTTTTTATTTACATTTATAATATATCTACTGGAGTTTGTGATAATGATTGTAAGAAGGAAATAACGATGATACGACAGGGTGAGCCACCTTATTATCTTCTTTAGTTATGGTAGTACGAGAAAATTTGTACGTGTAATTTAAATGATTGAGATGGAAAACAAATTTTCCTACAAATGCCATTTTTCCCTACTCTTTCGAAGTCTCCTGTGTTTTTTTTACACGAAAGTATGTATTTTTTTCTACTGTATGTTGCAGTGGCCTGTTTCACATGGCCTGCCCAGGTAAAAGGGGTGAATTTACATGAGAAAATAACTCGAAAATGTAGAGTAACATCTCTTTTACATATACAAGGCTTCCTTTCCGAATAAATCGATATTGAAAATTCGTTGATTACAGTTTGGAAACACTCTGTGTGAGAAAAATCACGATTATATGTAATTCTCTTAAAATAGCATAACTGAAAGTATTGCAAGAGAAATGAAAGATAGCATTCAAAGAAGTTTCACGTTTGATTTAAAATTTCAGTGCACTTTTAAAAGTTCACCAAAGCTGTTTCTCAGGTTTCAAGACTGAAATAAAGTTTCCTAAAATTTTCCTCGTTTGATCCAATTCTGAATAGTAAAACTAGCTCGAAATATCGTTCAACTCGCCATCTCCTTAATAATCGCCATAATTCCTGTGACACTAAAAATTAAACGCAAATGTGCTATAAACACGTTTCTATCCTCTGTATAAAATCTCGAGAGTTAATGAAACGCCCGGGACACGTAACATACGCTTCATTACGCGCGACCCTGTTTTTTTTTTCCGCAAGTCCATCTCAATTTTTTGAAGCTTCCTTATATTCCATTTCTTTTTTTTTTTTTTTTTATTTCATACAGTAATTTCTCGCGGAACCTGTACATACGTACGTGTACACCGTGTACACACACCAGCGGCTACGAGTTTCTCTCTATCTCTCGTGCTGAGTCTGCCATCGAGTTCACAACGCGGCTTCATTCGACGAAAAATACAGAGGTGCGCTTTTATCTTTTGTAACGATCGCAGTGACGCCGACAGCCACACCGTTTGGAACCCGGTAATTCGTCCCAGCCCGGCGACGACGACGACGACCCTTTCGCGTTCCTCTTTCGGTTTCGCGATTTTTTTCAACCGAGCTGTCACTTCTTTTTTCCTCTCTCTCTTTTTTTTTTTTTTTTTTTTTACCGGACTACTTCCTCCGAAACCACCCTTCACGTCTAAATTACTCGGTTTTCGTGATCGATTCATTTAAATTTTAAAATGCACCCGCATGTTTCATGCATATTGCACACTTTTTCTTCTTTATCGCCGTTTTACGGGTGTAAAGTGTAGATATTTTTCTTATTTGTGTTAATAGAATTTGTGAAAGTGGAGGTGCGGTTTTGAGAACGACAGGGGTGTACATATTTTTTTGTACCGTGAGCAATAAGAATCTCGTTACTATTGTGTCATTACAGTACACATTTTTTTCCTAATTTATTTGCTTCGCATCACGCACAAGGACTTACGTGTGATACACATAAGAAAAGGTCTAATTAGCTCGAAACGTCCGGGAAAGATTCGAACACTTTTCTTTAGCAGAGAAAGGATCACTCAGAACCCAAATGATCAACTCCACTTTTTAAAATTCTTCCAACTTTAATATCACAGCACATGTTCGGTTCTTAACTGTTCGAAAATTTTTTAAATTTAACAAATCTAATTTGATAGAGTTAGACAGTTGGGCCTCTTAAAATCGCCAATAAAATTCTTCAAATTAAAATTTCACGAAAATTCGAACCAAAACCACAACTCAATCTGAAAAGGAATAAAAAAAGAGCACAAGCAAGCATTCGCAAAAAAAAAAAAAAAAAAAAGAAACTGTTCCAGTCGAGATATTTAGATCGAATCGATTTCTAATTTGCACCCTTCGAAGCTAAGCAAACGCGGAAGCATCGCACTTGCTCAATCCCGCCGGGTACATGCAAATAATGCAGACCGCAATAATATGAGAGCGAGAAGCGGGAAATTCAATTTTCTCCCGGCCTGTTTAATCTCGCCCGTTCGAAAACTAAAACCGAACACAGTGGACCGATTCGATGGCGCCCCATGCGGAGCGATACACACGGAGCAGCGCCGAGAACGTCTGATAAAGTTATGAATTACGGTGCATTGGCCTTCGAAGCTCGTCGAGGTCGTTCAACATGGGATAGGTCAGTCGCTGGCTCTAACTCATTCTAACCGTGGCCATGTACCGGCTCCCGACGTCGATTCTACGTGAAGTGGAAATATAATGGCGTCGATCTGATCCGGATACTAGCTCCGCCACCACCACACCCTTCCACATCTCCGTTCGTCCTTTCCTTTCGAATTTTTCGTTTTCATTCAAACAGTTCGACGAAAGAAAGAAATATCGGGACCGGTGTGTTAAGCTTGTATTTATAGAAAATTGTTGTAACAAGAAGAGGTTAGAAGTTGCGACGAAAAGATGTACGACACTCGAACCCGCGACTCGAATGAATTTAATTCGAACGCGAAGAGTGTCTCACAACGAATTAATGCCGTAAAAGAGCGATATTATAAAATTATTGTTATTCATTTATTTTTCGGCTTCACAATCTAGGAAAAGGACTTGGGTTACAGATTTTCTACTCTCACTCGTTCCCATATTTCTAGAGTACTAGTCACCTCTACAGCCTTATACCTATCTTGCACTGGAAACGTCTTACCTTAACTGAACTCGTTTTAGCGAACCTGGAGCGAAAATTAGGAGATCTACATTCGAGCATTTTTTGGGGAAAATATTCAACGTTAAATTTTCGATAAGCTAAATATGTAGCGTTACTGCAGTTGTGGCAGCAAAGCTGAGAGAGCAGTAGATTCGTAATTAAAGGGCATTCTATTTTTTTTTTTCATTTTTCTTCTTCTTCAAACAAAACCTATTTGTGTAACTTTAGCGATAATTCGTCGCTATTACAGTACTTTTTAAACGACTACTAAACAAATATTTTTTTTAAATTTACCACTTGTAAATTGAACTAGTAACGACACATTATTAACGTCATTTCAAGTTCAGGGACAGACTTTTTTAATATTTTTGAAAATCATTCTCAAATTAACCTTCGAACGCATTTGAAAAAGTATTCTTTCTACCAGCTCTTTGTTTTTGAAGTAAAGAAAGTAGGGATGACTGTTCTCCATCAGGAATTCAAATCTGAACAAGGATAAGAAGCTTCAACGTAGATTAGTCGAGAAATTTGTTTAAATGATTTTTTATTATATCATCTTCCGTTTCATACACTCGGGACATTTATCTACAAACAACGACGATCGTTTCACGTATTATTACCGCATTATGTTTTGTATTACCGTTTTACATCGAATCGTCTATTAAACGTTAATTGCTCATTAGCGAGGTAAACATACACACGTGTACTATGTGTTCGCGGGAAACGAACGAGA